CGTCACATCCGAGGGAACTCAGAGTGTGGATTTGCGGTGCTGTTTTCACTAATATGTACGTTAGATCCTTTTGTGAACGCAGTGCGCTGCAGAGTTGCGCTCTTGCATCAGAGACTGTGGAGAGGAAAAATGTTGCCACATGACCTCGGTTCTCTGAGAGAGTCCTCAACGAGCTTCCTCAGTGCATGCTCAGACCTCCTCCTCACTTTATTTTTAGAGCAGGTCTGCTCTGGATCACGACTCTGGGCTCAGGGCCGAACTCTTCCACACACACACAGAGCAGTGACGTCTTCTGTTTCTATAACAACAGACAAACAGCCAATGAATGGACCGAATGCTCATGATGTCACTGCGATGTCACTGCTCAGTGCCATGTGAAAACATGATGTTTCGCTCCGGATTTCTTCTGTGCAGAGCTTCATGCAGGTGCATCACGAGTTCATGGCTGTGCTCTTGTCCTGCTGTTTCATCAGCAGTTGCAGCCAAAGAAATGAAGTCTGAGACTTTTCTACTACAGAGTCCTCGCTCTTTGTTGTGGTGAGGGGCAGACATATTTGTTCCCTTAAGTTTTCCATTTCTTTGTTCTTCCGCTCGTGTCCATCCTGATTGTTTTACTGATCTCTCTCTGACATCTGGGAGTCCTTACGCTAAAGTAATGATCATTATCCTCTGGTAACTTCTGAAACCCCAGAGGAAAAGCTTTAAGTAAACAGGAGGAACAGATGCTGCTCCACAGACCGACCAATAACGCGACGTGTAGCTACACTTCCAGGTAAATCCTCAGTAGGGTTCAGACTGAAGCAGTGTCACAGGTCCTCCTCAGTCCTGGTTTGAAATCATGACCAGATCCAGATCCTGGACAGTCGCACATTGTCAGCTTTCTGTAGAAAATCTGGGTCAGTTAGCCACTTCCTGTCATTAGGCCTGTGTGTGGTTTCTTCCTGTTTATCTATCTGGGATGTTGAGTAAAAGTTTCAGATATGAATCTCAGTGAACACGATGGCTTTATTTCATATTAACACTTCAAACATTATGTGTAAGGACTTTTAAAACCACGCAGGTGAACATGTAAACATGTGGACACAAACATGTTCACGTGTGGACACGAACATGTTCCCGTGTGGACGCAAAGATTAAACTTCACAGAAAACGAGCTCGATGGCTTCTTCCTTCAGCTCACACACGCTGACATGCACGCTGCGATTCATGGAGCGAGCCGGAGTGAACACATTAAACCAATGCGGAGGTCAGTCTGATGGTTCGAAGGTCATCCTGAAACTCACTCACTGAGCTTCTGATGTAAACATGTGGGTCAAAGGTCAAAGTTGAAGCAGACAAAAGGTCAGAGGAGGATTTTCAGGGAACTGGCCCTTTAAGAGCCTTTAAATGAAAGTGTCTGAAACACAGTTTGTTTAGAAAGAGTGTGTGTGTGTGTGTGTGTGTGTGTGTGTGTGTGTGTGTGTGTGTGTGTGTGTG